AAAACGAGCAGCATTAGCATCAATTCAGGATCTTGACGTTTATTAGTGGTAGGTCCCACGTAATTTACGTGGACATGCCAAATAGGCATTCGGTCGTCTCCTTGGTAGTTTATCCGAGGACTATATCATTAGAGTAATGCTATAGACCATTAATTTATCATCACTAATCCCACTACTAATAAGGTGGCAATTGAAAAAAAAACAAAAAAAAAAAATGCACAAAACACATGTGGCAGCGGGTGGGACCCACTGCCACATCATTAGAGCTACCACTAATTAATGGTATAAAGCATTTTTGATATCATTATTGTTTCTAATCAATAAGGGAGTTTGTTTTTTGAAATCTTCTGTATAGCACTGAGTTTGAGGTGGGCTGCTTCCATTTGGAGGAAGTTACAACAATGGATGTCAAGAAAATTAATTAAAAAATATGAAAAATATTAATAATTAAAATTATAAATATTTTTATTAATAAATAATTAATTTTTACTGACACCACCACTTAGTGTAATTGTTCCAAATAATTATACAAAGGCAAACACTATTACTCATAAGGTATTATTTAATATTAAAATTAATATGAAGATTATTTTGAAAATAAATAAAAAAGTTAAAAGGTCACAAATTTAATGAAAAATGTATTGATACAGGTAAAAACTGTAGCACGCTCGGTAATTTTTGTTTTTGTTTTTTGTTTTTTTAATAAAAAAGAAGGTATAACTATCTTGTTTAAACTGAAGTGAAGTGTGAATACTATTACTAATAAATAAGTAATTAGTTCTATGTGCTTCAACTTAAATGGCGAATCCCCTAACCGGTTCCTTGAATTAATTGGGCTAACTTGGGCACCCTTAAGAGATTAGAAAGTCAATTCTTACTGAACTCTTTGTTACATTGTTTATTTTATTTCCATTATATATAATTTAATTTTTTTAAAGATAAAAATATTAAAAGATGAAAATATTTCCCTTAATATTAATTTTTACTTATTATTTGACCTCTTATTTTTCTTAACTCTCATCATTTACAAAATATTATTCGTAATATATCATATTATCTTGCATTTTTACTAGTATTGTCATTTTTAAAGATACAAAATTAAACCCCCCACCCCAATTTGCCTCCATTGAGCCGCCCAGTTGTGGGCTTTCTATTCACGCTTAAAAAATTATTACGTACGTCCAATTAAAAATTTAAAATTTTAATTCATATTATATTTTAATGTAAATTTATTAATAAGGATAATAATATTAAATCTTAAAATATTTTTTTTCTCATAATACACCCTAATCACATATAGTATTTTTCATTTTCTTCTTCAAGTTTTAATTATTTTCTCTTCTTTTTCTTCCTTATTATAAAACACCAAACCATCCAAAAAAATTTGGCCGGTTGCACCCAAAAATTTAAAAAATTTAGTATATTATACCAACAACTAATAAGATAATTTTGAATTAATGTACTTTGCACCTTCTAAGATTTGAGTAGTTTGCACCTTCAAAATTATTATAAAAATTCACAATCGTAAATTATTTATATTATAAAATTTTAAAAATAATTTTCAAATCGAGTTTTATTAAGGGAGATTTACCTGTAGGTCTTAATAGATGAACTTATTATCCATAAGTCTTATGATAATTAATGACGCTTTTCACCAAACACTATTAAAAAAGCCACTAATTATTAATTTTCAGCGACAGTTTAAAAATTTTGTTATAAAAAATGTCAGTAACTATAAGTTTTAACGGCAGTTTAAAAAAATGTCACTAATTTTCAACTTTCAGCGATAATTTGAAAATTTTGTCACAGAAAAACGTCATCAATTGTAAGTTTTACAGAAAATTTATAAAAAAAAAAAGTGATAAAAAAAGTCACTAATTGTTAATTTTTAGTGACATGTAAAAAATCGTTACAAAAAATATTTTTAGCGATGATGTTACTGAGACTTATTTTCAATAGGACTTAATGAGAATTAGTCCACCTATTGATAGTTTACACTTTTATCAAATATTGTTCTATTCTATTTGTTACATGTGTTATTGAGCTTTACAATTCATGTCCAAAAGTTAAATGGACTTACATATTATTTTCCTTGTGATTATATATCATTTATATTTTTTTTCTTCCTTCTATAAATCACACTTTAATTTGCTTATGCATCTTATTTTGCATTTATTTGTGTTTATTCATTATTTAAAAATTAGAATATTGTCCAAAAATAAAAATATCGCAACATGTCATTCTTAAAATTGAGCTCATAAAAACAATAAATTCTCTGATCACACTCACAGGGTCTATCCTTTCCATTGAAGGGTTGTTTTTGTAAAGCGTGATCACTCCAACTTGAATTCGAAAACCTTATCGTCAATTTCTGGGAGTTGTTTGAGTTCATGTGGTGTGGCCTTTGATGATGACACAACAAGTCTTGCCTCTTGCCTTGTTACTGTGAATAATAGGGGAGCAGTTGGAGATGCCATTTCTGAGGAAATGTGAAACAAAGATGTAATCTATACGTGCCTTTTTCATCTGAATTTTGAAAGCTATTTACAGAGTGAAGATCAAGTAGACAAGAAAATACAGCATCCCATTGGTCATCCAAATTTTTTACCCATTAACTTGTTAAAACATCCCATTGAGTTGGAATATCTATCAAGGTTCGTGGAGTCTCTTTGGATGGGGATCACTTTCCATACAGTTTTCTTAGTTTTTTTTTTTTTGTGTGTGCAGAATTATCGTAGAGAAGAAATGATCCACAACGTTTTAATATAAATTTACTAAATAAATATTAAGCTATTGGTGAAATTCTATTGTTTTGACGGATTTAAAGACTTCTTTAAAACAAGAAACAAGAATTGATGGAAACAAAATAAAAAATAAAAATTAGCCCTCAATCTATATTATTTATTATAAAAAAAAAAAAAATTAGATCAATTCGACAATCATAATATTTTTATTTTATCCTGTTACTTCCAAAAAAATAGACAATAAATATGTTTTTTAAAGTAGATAACTTATTTTTGGTCAGAAAGCGAAAAAGCATATTAAAAGGAGTTAAACATAGTTCTGGGGAAAACAACCCCATTAGCATCATCATTAAGATGTTTAACAAGATAAGTAGGAGCATAAAGCAAAACATGGAGTCCTTTCTTGCTGCCTTCGTTTGCTAAGACGGCGGTGCAAGTATTCACTTCTCTATATATGTGCTTGATTTCCTTCAGTCCGAACCTCTCCATGAGATACCTACAATCATAAATCAAGTTGCTAAGAGGGTGGAACTCATCAACATTTTTGGCTAAAGGCTGGCACACCAACATGGCATCAGATAATAAAATAAAAGCATCACAAAACTGACTTTTTTTTTTCTTTTTTTTTTATATAAATAATATACATAGCACGTCCTATACAATTAATTATTTAAATTATTTAAATGAGATCTGCAACGAGTTTCACCACCCCTCCAATTTTTTCAAGTTCAAATTCAAAATTGAAAAAATTTAGATTCAACAACCTTTACTATGTCAAAACTCACAATCTTAGACCATGTTTGATTAGTAAAACTAATAGTGAAAGAATTAACAATATTATGAATTAGTATAAGATTAGTTATTCAATTAAATTAGTGAGATAACCATTTATTAAATATACATTTTGTGTGTGTGCGTGTGTGATTTTTCTTTTTTTCTTTTTTTTTTTTCATACATGAGATTATGATCCCAAGCCTCTCTTAGTATTAAAAATTTGTTAATTACGTTGTATTGAATGTTTGCCTCATATGTAATTCAGTCAACAAAATTTGCAATCAAACATAGGAATATTAGTCCATAGACTAATAATCCCAATCATATACAATAATCTTATTACTCAAATAAGGTCTCAGATATATCATTTATAATGTAATATTTATTAAGTTGTCACTTAAAACACTACAACAAATTTGGGATTTAAAGACGAAACAAATTTGTCCCAAAATGTATATATTTCGTCACCCAAACTAATTACGACGAACATTTTTCGTCACCCATTTTATCTCCAAAGGGTCGTCGCTAAAGGGTCTTAGAGACGAAAAAAAAAATTCGTCATTGAAAATGATAAATTTGTGACGAATTTTTTTGTCTCCAATACACTCCGTTGGGAACATACTTGTAAGTAATTAGCGACAAAATATTTTGTCATTAAAGGAGAAATTAGAGACAAGTATTTCGTCATAAATATAAGAAATAGAGACGAAATAATTTTGTCACGTTTAATATAAATAAAGACGAAAATTTTTTGTCAAAGGAGCTACCAATAGAGACAAAAACAAATTCATTATTAAAAACGATAAATTTGTGACGAATTTTTTTGTCTCCAATACACTCCGTTGGGAACATACTTGTAAGTAATTAGCAACAAAATATTTTGTCATTAAATAAACGAAGACGAAATTTTTTTGTCAAAGAAGCTACCAATAGAGACAAAAACAAATTCATCATTAAAAATAATGAAATAATGTCAAAAAAAATTCGTCACACATTGAGGGTAATAGTGACAAAATGTGACAATATTTTTTGTCATGACATTCATTTAGCGACGAAATAAAGAATTCATGACAAAATTAATCATCCACCTAAGCTAAATAAGAGACAAAAAAACCTTCTTTAGGGATGAAAAATTTTGTCAATAATTCCATAATATTTTTTTCCACATTATATACCTATTTTATCAAAATCTAAATTTTAATTCAACAAATATGACCCTGTTCATGTTGAAACCTGTTGAATATAACAATTCCATCACAACTTAACCTAACTTGTTATCAACATATTTACGAATTAACAAAATGAAGATATCCATTCATCATTACAAATAATTTCATCCTAATATAATAAAATAGTGAAATATCCACAAAATATCCAAAAGTTATAACTTGTTCAATTCCACCAAAAATCCAACAATAACTAGTCCATCAAGTTTAACCATTCACAAGACAGATAAGCAACATAGAAAATATAGGTAAGGGATAGAACATCAACTTCGACATCTATATTTTCAACCATTGTCTCACCCCCAAGCCTTAAATTTAATGTTTGTTTTTCAATGCCCTTAACTATAAGCAATTGTCCAAAATAGTAGCCTAAAGTAAATTAGTCAATTGCAATAATAATGTGAAGATCACATAAATCTTCATAAAATATGCACCATGAAATTTTCTGAAGATTAGTCCCATATTAGTAGAATGTAATATGTATCCATCAATAAATTAATATCAACGTGATCTCAGAGTAGGATTTTATCGAAGCATCAAAGTGCATCCACCATTAAAAAAAGAAAGCCGAAGAATGTTTGTGAGTGCATGTCGTACTTGCAATCCATTATTCTGACAACTGGTGGATCTGCATCTGGCGATAATATTACCTGCATTAGTAACAATAGAAATATAATCAAATAAACTCAAGCACAATGCCACATGAGAAGCTCAAAAGGCAAACACTTTCCACAATTGCACAAAATAAATATAAAAAAATACAGAATAGTTAAACGTTTGACAAAACCATTGATTGGGGAAAATGAGCTCCAAGACAATGGCTACTGATAGCGAAATTACTAGAGTCAAAGAAGAGTATCACCTTGGGTGGAGCACTAAGAAAATCAAAAAACAGTGAAAGAGATCCTCAGCCTGACCGGATGGAAGTAAAAAATGCTCAGCATCTTAACAGAGATGAAGTTAAGGAAGAACTAACGACCGTAGATGTCAGAAAAGGGAAAAACCTAACAAAAGAGGAACACCTAAAATTGAGAGGTAAGATAATGGTTAAAAATAAGGCAAAGACCAAAAACCAAACTTCCAAAGCAATACCTGTACAAGACCATGAAGGGTCAATTTCGCCTCGTTATCAACATAAATTTCCATTGGCTGAAAGGAAGAAATGTCACAGTAAAGCATATTAGGAGCCTTCCCGAAGGTAATGGAATCCAGCACGAAATGAATGATGGATGAACATCCCTTCAATTGAGATTCCGGTCCATTTGATGTCTCCTTGCAGATATTCTAACTCACAAGAAGCAAGTCCACTGTTGCTCAACATATATACTAGTATGTAACCAAAAGGAGCCACAGGTAAGACATCCAGCATCAACCCCATTAAAAACCCACACTCAAGGCCTAAAGTAAACAAGAAAATAACTAGGGATGTGAACAAAAGAAAAAATAAGGTACCGAAGAACGAAGAAACTATCCCCACACATCAGACCTAAAGACCGATCTTTCTTCTGCCACTACCCATCCCCTATCACATTACATACTTAGGTAGAATATTGAATAATGGGCATAAACAAAATGCTTTTGTAGATGTACTTACAATATGTATATATTTATTGCTTTACATTTGTCACTTTGTTCAAATTATGCTAAAGACTAAACTATTTTTCTATTTTTGATATGGATCAATTGATAGTTTTATGAAGAACTTAAGTTTAGGTCAAGTAGTTGAGATCCTTGGGTTTCATTTTTTTTTTTTCAAACATTCAAGTGATTATGCTCCTTGATTTCTAAGAAATAAATTGGGAGAGATTCTGAGTTTGAATTTATGGTGAATCATCGAATGTTTATAAGTAGTAATTTAACTTACTACTAACTAATTAACTAACCCACTAATTTTGACACCCGGAAAAAAAATGTAATTTGATATTTTTAATTTTTTTTAATTTTTTATTTTTAATATTAGTTTGGTGGTGTGTGTGATTTTGCAGCGGTTCCATTGCCATCTTCATCTTCATCACCTGGAATGGTAGCTATAGGGCAGGTGGGAAGCTATGGTGGGTATGGATCTGTGACTATGGAGAAAAGTTTTAGGGTAAGTTACACTATACTATACTACTCTCTAATCTAATACTAGTTACTGACTCACTCACTGAATACAGGTTGCTGTCGTTATGCAGTTGGGCAGCCAGTGAACACAAAATCATGGTCTACTTATTGTCTTCCTCTCTCAACCTTTACAATTTCCTGGTTTGGCAAAAAGCCAACATGAAATTTGTACATCTAGTGTGGTTTATATGCATCATTAAAATAAAACTTTGTCTCTCCAAACAATTATAAAAGGAGAGACAACCTAAACATTTTCTTCACTTGAATCCTTCAAAACAACTATTAAAAAAAGCCCTTTAGTTTTGTTGTTTTTTTGTTGCAGTAACACTAGAGGGTAAGGTTTAATCAACTTCATAAAGGGTAACTCTTTTCTCTTTGAGCCAAACAACAAGGGTTATAGTCTATGCAAAGAAAATTTGAAAATAGAAGAACATTGATAATTAGAACATTGATAATCATTAAGGTATATTAATTTGTTTTCTCACGTGGCTTCACTTTTATGCTTGGATGCAACCACCCTATGTACAAGGACTAGAAACAGAATGCTTATGTTTGGGATTAGCTTTTTGGGTAGCTTTTTAAAATTCTGGTTTTTTTGTGAGGTGGAAAAAGATTACTGTGCTTTGGAATGGATTTTTATTTCAGTTGTATGGGAAAACATGGAAGGCTGATGTGATATTTTGGCTTTTTGCCTAAAATTTTCATTTTACCCTTGTTTTAGATCTATGGAAAAAATGCAAAGGTACATTTGTTTTTTTGATGCACCCCAAACGTTTTGCCTTTTGGGATTTTTTAGCCATTTTCATCCCCCAAACCACCCCAGAACACTTCAGCGTAAATAATGATAATGAAGAACAAAATACTCAAAGAATGATCATTCGCAATGAAAATTAAAAGAGAAAACAACTATTATTTGGTGGCAATTTCAATGCCGACTAATTGAAAATACATAAACTACTTATGTTTAGAACACACGCCTTGAGTTTTGACATTTTTTGTAAATATGACAAAAAAATCATATGGTGATTGGTGAAGCCCAAAGCCTAGCGCATAAAAAGTCCTCATATGTAAAATTCTATAATTCATCCTGTTTTTCTACATTCTTTTAGTAACCAAATGAAGTATAACAGAAATGACCCAACCAAAGAATTACACACAGCAAGGCAAAACCATTTCATGCAAAATATATCGAGCTATCAGCAATCATAAGATAATAAAGCAACTGACTTGACAGTCAGCAATATGTCTCTCGCCATTTGGCCTTGTCTAATGACTTTTCTGACCGACAAATCACCATCATACACATTTTCCCTCTGGGACAATGAGTGATGTGGTTTGTATTGTGGTTGAGAGTTAGTTGCTGGTAGTTCTATTGTTGTATGAGCTTCCCTATGTCTATGAATAGGTAGGTGGGCTTCTAGTGAATAGTTTTTTATCATTACGGTTTTTAGTTTCAGAGCTCTAACTCTTATATTCCCTAGATTTAGGATTCCTCTCTCTCTAATACATCTTGGGGCCAGGGCACATTCAACTGTCCTAAAAATGTGAATTTTACCACTTCACAAGTTAGATAATTAAATGGGTTCCTAAATTCGATGATTTAAAATTTGTTCCACAACCAATTCAAATTAACTCATTCGTAAATTCCGAGATTTTGAATTAATCCATTCAAAATGAAATAGTTCAATTCGTGCAACCAAATTAAAAAAAAAAAAACAATTAACTGTAATAGCTTGATTGAAAATGCAATCATAACAACAACCACCCAACAAAAAAATAAATAAAACCAATACTGACAATCTGAACATCCTGCTCATCAAGTGAAATTGGGGAAGAATCCGGAAGCCTGACTTCTCTGGACTGGACTTGAGCACGGTCTGACTGTTTCGGAGGCTGCCAAAAAGAAAACAAATTGAGTATTTCAACTTCACAAAGATCATTCACAATAATCAAATAACAAAATTCAGGTGGGATTAAACATCATAATTTCACCAAAGCTTAGTGATACTTAGAGAGAGAGAGAGACAGAGAGAGAGGTGTACAGGGTAAGAGAGGAGGGATTGGAGAGAGGGGAGAGAGTGGCGAATGGCGTGCATGAGCTCGATCCTTTGAGAGGGAGAAGGAGAGGTTGGGCCGAGGAGGGAAACTCGATGGTGGAAAAGAGTAGCTTAGGGGACACCATTATTGAATTGAATGATGAAACCCTAGAACCAGAATCAGAGAATGCTCTCTCTCTCTCTCTTTCAGTAGAGAAGAGAGTGAAAAGGCGGGAAAAGCCCTAATTCGGAAGGAGAGGAGGGCTTTAGGGAGAGAGAGGGGAAAGGGTTTTAGGTTGTGGTCGTGATGGACAAGGATGGGTCGCTGTGTGCGTTGACGAGTGGAAGCTGGTTAAAAAAACTTAGGGAAATTTTTATAGTGTATAATTTGAAAAATAATTATCAATGATAAATTTTATTATGATCATTTTTTTTATAAATTTTATTTTATAGTGTTTTATTTCACCTAACCTTTTTTTTTTTTAATATTTCATTTATTTTATAGTGTTTTATTTCACCGGTAAGAGATGAGGGATTGGAGAGAGGGGAGAGAGTGGCGAATGGCGTGCTTGAGCTCGATCCTTTGAGAGGGAGAAGGAGAGGTTGGGCCGAGGAGGGAAGACTCGATGGTGGAAAGGAGTAGCTTAGGGGACACCATTGTTGAATTGAATGATGAAACCCTAGAACCAAAATCAGAGAATGCTCTCTCTCTCTCTCTCTTTCAGTAGAGAAGAGAGTGAAAGGCAGGAAAAGCCCTAATTTGGGAGGAGAGGAGGGCTTTAGGGAGAGAGAGGGGAAAGGGTTTTAGGCTGTGGTCGTGATGGACAAGGATGGGTCGCTGTGTGCGTTGACGAGTCGAAGCTGGTTAAAAAAACTTGGGGAAATTTTTATACAGTGTATAATTTGAAAAATAATTATCAATAATAAATTTTATTATGCTCATTTTTTTTAAAATTTTATTTTATAGTGTTTTATTTTAACTAACCTCTTTTTTTTTTAATATTTCATTTATTTTATAGTGTTTTATTTCACCTAATCTTTTTTTTTTTAATATTTCATTAAGTCAGGTTTAATATAATATGGTTAAATCACCTTTCTAATTTCTTGGATATTAGCATATCACTCGTGTTATGCACGGATTGTGTTTACAATTATTTATATATGTGAATTGTGATTTTTAAATATTTTTTTATTTTAAATGTCTTCTTTTTTTTTATATATTATATTAAAGTTTAATATTTTGATAAAAATCATATGTGTTGGACTTTTCAAGAATTTTTTTTTATACTTGTTCTTAATGTATTAAAGTATTATTATGAGGGATATTCAACATATGTGTTGGGACTTTTCAAGGAATTCATATGTGTTGGATTTAGCATATCACCCGTGTTATGCACGGATTGTATTTACAATTATCTATATATGTGAATTGTGCTTTTTAAATATTTTTTTTTTTGTAAATGTCTTATTTTTTTCCTTTTTTTATATTATATTAAAGTTTAATATTTTGATAATAATCATATGTGTTGAACTTTTCAAGAAATTAAATGTCTTTTTTTTATTATATTATATTAAAGTTTAATATTTTGATAATCATCATATGCGTTGGACTTTTTAAGAAATTTTTTTATACTTGTTCTTAATGCATTAAAGTGTTATTATGAGGGAAAATAATCGTACCTGTTAGGACTTTTCAAATAATTCATATGTATTGGATTTCAAAGAATTCTTTTTAGGAATTTTTATTGATAAATCCCATTTAGAAGTGTTTTAACTCAAAAAGTCCATGAAAGAATTTTTTAACCCATTTAGTCTCATGTATGTATAGTTTTATTCCATAAAATCATTTTTATTGATTTACACTATTTTCTTGGACACTTATGCCCTTATATTTAATTTTGATACCCTTATAAATATTTTTTGAACGGTTAGCAATTTTATGATGTGAACATTCATATTTTAAAATTCACATTGGTAGGAATGTAAAATTGGCACGTGGGTGGCCTGAAACCCGTGCCGCGAGCCGGGGCGAGCCCGGTCCGTTGACAATGTAAATATTCACATTGACATGTTAACATTTACATTAATAAGAGTGTAAAATTGGCCCGCGGCCCGTGGCGGCGCAAAAACCCGTCCGCGGCCCATGGGCGGCCGGGGGTGGGCCTAGTCCGGCCCGTTGACAATGTGAATATTCACATTGACATGTTAACATTCACATTAATAAGAGTATAAAATTGGCCCGCGGCCCATAGGCGGCCAAAAGCCCGCCCGCGGCCGGGGGCGGGCCCGGCCGGCGTGGGCGGGGGCCCGGGCCCGGCCCGGCCTGTTGACAATGTGAATATTCACATTGACATGTTAACATTCACATTAATAAGAGTACAAAATTGGCCCGCGGCCTATGGGCGGCCAAAAGCCCGCCCGCGGCCGGGGGCGAGCCCGGCCTTAACAATGTGATTATTCACATTGACATGTTAACATTCACATTGATATGAGTGTAAAATTAGCCCATGTCTCGTGGCTGCCCGAAACTCACCCACGGCCCATGGGCGGCGTGGGCGGGGGCCCGGGCCCGGCCCGGCCTGTTGACAATGTGAATATTCACATTGACATGTTATCATTCACATTGATAAGAGTATAAAATTGGTCGGCGACCCAGGACGGGCCCGACCCGGCCCGTTGACAATGTGAATATTCACATTGACATATTAACATTCACATTAATAAGAGTGTAAAATTGGCCTGCGTCCCGTGGCGGCGCAAAAACCCGCCCGCGGCCTATGGGCAGCCAGGGGCGGGCTTGGTCCGGCCCATTGACAATGTGAATATTCACATTGACATGTTAGCATTCACATTGATAAGAGTATAAAATTGGCCCGCGGCCCATGGGCGGCCAAAAGCCCCCCTGCGGCCGGGGGCGGGTCCGGCCTGTTGACAATGTGAATATTCACATTGACATATTAACATTCACATTGATAGGAGTGTAAAATTAGCCCGTGTCTCGTGGCTGCCCGAAACTCGCCCACGGCCCATGGGCGGCACGGGCGCGGGCCTGGCCCAGCCTGTTGACAATATGAATATATTACATTGACATGTTAATATTCACATTGATAAGAGTATAAAATTGGTCGGTGACCCAGGATAGATAGATAGATAGATAGATAGATAGATAGATAGATATAGATCGATAGATAGATAGATAGATAGATATAGATCGATAGATAGATAGATAGATAGATAGATAGATAGATAGATAGATATAGATATGGCACATACCATTTATATGACACAAGGACCAAAATACCGGGACAACTGCTACAATTTGCTCTCATCTAAATTAAAGGGATTTAAAAAGTTAAAAAAAAAAAGAACAAAAAATTATAATATTAAAAAATGTTCACTAAAAACATATAGATTAAAAATTAAAAATTAATTATTGTAAACTCCATACTAAACAAGGTAATGTTTTCTATTAATTTGAAAATTAAAAAATTATTATTAATTTTTCCTCTGTTTTTTTTTCTCACAAAAAAAAAAAAAAATAGCTACATTAATTATCTTCTTT